ATGCAAGCATGAGAACAAAACATATCAAACTGCAATATCAAAAGTGAAATTCTATCAAAGGCACAGCTAGCCCCATGAAACAATACCAAGAAGAAAGAGAAATTGTCTTGACCAACTTAAGAGGGCAACTCATCAGGAAGAACGAGCCCCAGTATAGCAGAAAAAAAAAAAAAAAAAAAAAAAAAAAAAAAAACAACAACAACAACAACAACAACAACAACAACAACAACAAAAAACAAAAAAACTTCAAATCATTCCAAATGTGACTTCAACTTTCATCAACGGAGGGGACTTTAGGAGTAGCATCCACAATCTTATCCGGGCCATCTTAGGGAGGAAAAGTAGAGGTAGCCCCAACTTCTTGAGAAGTAGAAGCCTCCTTAACCACATCTCTCATAGCTCCAGTTTCCATGGTTTCACCCCCTTTAACGATCACTGTCTCATTGGCAGTATCGCTCTCCAAAGTCTTGGTTACAAAATCAGTTCCTAGAAAAGTCTTAGCTGGAAGAATAGCAGCAGACTTTGGACCCAAGGATCTTGAAGGAACAGGAATATCTTGAAACAAGGGAGACCCTTCTGGAATCTGAGCAGTGGCCAGAGCACTTGTCCAACCCTTCAGAAAAAGCTTGTCCCGCAACACCAGCACCTCTTCCTTATAAGCAGCCCCAGCTTCATCCCAACCTTGCTGCTAATACTTAGCCTTCAAAGCAGAACGTTCATCAGCCATCACTGCAATAACAGCCTCCAGCTCTGCCACCTTCCCTTCAAGTTGGGCATATACCCCAATGGTAGCTTCCTTGGACTTCTCAGCCGAGGTAACAACCTTGCTCAGACGGAAAACCTCCCTCTCAGCAGTTTTGCGTCCCTCTTTCTCGACTTCCAAACTCACTGTTAGTCTTTCAGCATTCATGGAAGCCTCCAGTACGCCCTTCTTCAGTTCCTCAACTCTAGTAATCGACAAGTGCATTCTCTGAATACACTACAGCAGATAACAAAGGCATTAAAAGAAAGAAAACAGTAAAATAACACCAAGTGAATCCCAAAAACACTTACAGCAATCATCATTTGAAAGGTCCCCTTTAGAACTAGAATATCACGGGCCCCGTTGTGATCTGCCATGTCCACTGGCACTAAGAAAGCATTGGTCAGGTCAAAAGCAAAGTCCCCAGAAGCACCAATCGAATCAGAAGTAGAAATGGGTCTGCCCTGATACAACATTGGCGGCTCCCACTTTTCAAACAACTCATCTTCAACAGGATCTTTAAAAGCCTCTTCAACTACCGTCTTGCCAGTCTCCCTCCTCCTCTTTTTTGCCCTTGCAGTAATTGAAGCAAAGGGTCCGGCAGTGGCAGCAGTAGCATAAAGGCCAGAGGCTCCTATCTCTAACTTCACATCTATAAGGCTCTTTGGTTTGGCCTTTACCGAAGGAGTCCCCAAAACTTTAAAAGAGCCAAATGCCTCCATTTTCAAGTCCACCAGCACTCTTCTTTTTTACATTGACCCACTCCTTGTGAAACTAGGAGCAAGGGAAGGTGCCCTCTCAGATGGCAAGCCTTGGCTTCGGCGACAGTTCGTGACCAGGGGGGTAAGGGACGTATCAGTCTCAGTGTTAGAATCCAGAAGAGACGCAACGAGCCTCGCTTTCCTCGAATGGTGGAACGATAAGTCACTTGGTAGTCTAACAGCTCGGGCGCAAACCTCTTCTTATACCTCAGAACAGCCTTGATGGCCTCGGTGTTCTCTCGGTTTGGCCTGCGCTGAAAACGGGAAGCCTCTACAGAATGGAAAAATAGCATTAAAATCACATTCAAAAAAAAAAAAAAAACAACACAGAAATACTAGAATGAAGGACTCGAACCTAGGTAGCCATCCTTTTAGGGCATCCGTTCAAATTGGAACTCAGTCCCAACAGGAAATTCCTAATTACCAACGACTTGTAGAAAATCGTCATTATGTTTGTCCGAATCAGGTAAGCCAGTTACAAGATGACAATCGGCCGAACGAACACGGAGATAATAAGTATTGTGATCCTTGTTTGTGAAAGGGTATAGCAGCCCAATATGTCCCAGATGTCCAAGTTCAAACCCAACCGCCTGTTAAGAACGGAGACGCCTTAGACAACTCGGAACAAATTAACAGACAACTGCATAGGGATAAGCTGAACTTGGTGCAGGAAGCGGCGCACCAAAGGATCAAGGGGAAATCAGACCCCTCTTTCAACAATGGCTACGATTGGGAAAGCAACGGTACTTCCAGTGCCCATGCGCTTGGCGTCAACCTTTGCTAGCGAAAGGGTCACATCATCGGGGATACCATAGTCTCGTCGAAAGATGGCCATTGCCTCAGGGGTATCAACTAATGACCGAAACTTCCCCATTAACCAAACCTAATGGGACGAAGACAAAACTTAGACTAAGCATAGAATAGAACCAGACGCCAGAAACAATGACGCAAGGGCCAAAGAGGGTGATCAAGACAGAAAAGGACAAGCAAAGATGAATTTCAAGGGAACTTATAGAGATTAGAACAACAGTGACAAGTAGGCGGCCCTAAAAAGAGAACGAGAATGGCAATGGAATGTCTAGGCAGAGCACCGTCGAGTCTAACTCAGAGGAACGGAAAGGGTTTTGGACTCTCTAAAAGCTTGGAGATAGATGAAGGGGTTTTGGATTGATAACCCTAGAACATTTATTACACTTAGCCGGTATGAAGGTACATAAATCACGACCATCAGTATGGATTTGGCACACCATCTCTACACACTAGTACTAAGCCGCCACATGTCACAATGAAAGACACATGTAGGGGGCGTGTGTCAGGATTGAACCGTCACCAAGGGGCTGAATTGGGGCAGATCCGAAGCGACGTGACGCTTGAAGTACAGAGCAATAGCTCCCCCCAAGGGGAACCTTAGCGTGAGCTAGGGGGCAAATGAAGGGACTAAATACAAAATGGGTCGAATTTAAGCCTTGGGTCAGCCCAATCCATTAGACTCAAGTCCTGAGGAACAGGGTAAAGAAGTGGGCCAGTTAGATTAGCCCAATACATCATCAACAATCCACCCAAGTCCTCAAGCACTTGGGCCCAATCTATAGTGGAAAGGTCAATCCAGCCACGATGCTGGGCTAGGCCAAGCTGTGAGATCTGATCCTTGGACCGAACCCAAAATGGGTCGAGCCCATACAAAGATATCTTACTGGGCCAGCCCATCTCTACAAGCAATCTCATAGAGGGCCGAGCTGAGGCACGACGATACTGAGCTAAAAGGACCTATTAGAGAAATGTGGAAGCTGTGAATGCATGCACATGGAGGCCTCAACTGGTCCCCTCCTCCTAAAATCACGAGAACATTTGATAGCGGGAATGTGATCTGTTACATGCATGGTTACAATGAGTATATACACCCCTTGTCAACTACCAAATGGTCTCCCACCTTGAGCAATGTTAAAGGAAACTTTGCAGCACCAGAGCTCCATGAAACCATCTTGGGCAACAAGCAAGGAGTTCTATATAAACTACACTGACTTCACATTGAAGGTAACTGACCTAAGCTGAACCATACTCACTAAAACACAACTCTCTGCACTCAGAGAGTACCTCTCATCTTCTCCGATTACTCACTCCCACACCGAAGGGGTTATCCGGCCAACCCCAGCCAGGCAGCTCTAACGGTACTTATTGCTACAGGGCCTCGATTCCTGGATAGTCCAATCAAGTGCGAAGCTCCGATCCACAATCATCTAGTGCATTATTCGGTACGCACATTTATCATGAGGTAGGTAACATGACACCTATTAAAGTTTTATTGAAGTTGTTCATTTTACTCTAACAAATGCCTTGTTCTCTTTAACTCCCCCATCATTCAATAGACCAAAACTGTTGCCATTCCCAAAAGAAACTTCTCATAAAACAACAGCCATGGTCTCTCTTCAACCCACCATGTCCTCCACCTCTACTTCAAATTTCGAAGAGCATCGATAGGTCATTCACATGTGCTGAACCCTTGATGAAGAGCTCGAAGAAGACACTGATATTCCTGTCAGCATCTTCAACGTCCCCAAGAACCTCATGGCTAATGATCTCAATTCCTACATACCCCAACAAGTAGCATTAGGCCCTTACCATTACTAGCACCCTGAGCTCTATGAGATGGAGAAATACTATTGGAAAATCCAAATCCAACTCAACAACAAAAGTCCAAATTGATCAAGAAGCTTAAAGAAGATTGAAGACAGTTCATAGAAGTTTCATGGAAGCTCTATGGTCAAAAGCTTCACCATGAAGCAAATGAGGAAAACGTGAAATTAGATGCTGGATATATATAACTCACACATACGATGCACACGCGGATTGTAATCCTAAAAATAGATTGCATTAGTTGTTGTATTAGATAATGAGATGAAAATGAGATGAGAAAAAGAAAATCATTGAGCTACAACTTGTATCCACAAAGGCATAAATAAAATCAGAGAGTTTGTTTTTCCAAATTATATTCTCAAAATACATAGGGATTCCATTCCCACATCTCATCATTGGTATCAAAGCATACAAAGGAAATTTAACATAATTTCCATCAGATACAAGCTTGCCACGACCAAAAGAACCAAAAACACCTCCAAACCATCAAGTTCCAACACTTTGTGGACCAGTTAATGAAGCTCGAGTCAAGGATTCGAGCCTGCTACAAGTACCTTGATTTCAATGGCAAAACCTTAGTGTGGAAGATGGCTGTTGATGTGTCTTTCTTGCTAGAGTTCCTTCAAATCTATGCCGTCAAAGAAGGGAAAGTGTTGACTAGAGTTTCGTCAAGGATGTCGCATTTGGTTGACATTGCTAGGAGAAAATCAGCACACAATGCCATTTTGAGAGATATGGTGATGCTCGAGAATCAAATTCCTCTGTTTCTGTTGAGGAATATGTTGGAATTCCAACTTTCATCATTAGAATTAGCCAATGCCATGTTGAATGGGAATGTGTAAAGAGCTTGCGCCATTGAGACGATGGAAGATCTCCCTATTGTGCAAGTTTCAAAGTCAACCCACCTTCTACACTTTCTGTACCATGTGATCGTGCCCAAATCAGAAGAACAATCTGAGATTATTGAAGTCGAAGAACAAATCATCGAAGCCACGGAGATAAAAAAAATGCCTTCTGAGAAATCAAGCATTGTTGGACAACTGTTTGATGAGGCTTGGAAGCTTCTCTTGAAGCTAAACAGTGGACCGGTATACCTAATCAAAAGGGTAGTGTCTTCTAGACCTGTCAAAGTCATATTAAGACTTCCATGGACAATCCTCTCTAACCTTCCTGTTCTCAAACTCTTGAAACAACCCGTTGAAATTTTTCTCTCCTCTGAAAGCAACGAGAACGAGTCCGAAAATGAGAAATCAAGCTCGAATAATGCCATTAACAGGCCTCCATTGGTTAAGGAAAGTAAAATCCCATCCGTCATCGAGTTATCCAAAGCCGGTGTCAAATTCTTACCCATGAATGGATGTGTCGCAACCATTAGTTTCGACATTACAACAGCTAAGTTTTACCTCCCCACCGTGACCTTAGAGGTGAACACGAAAGCAATTATGAGAAACCTGGTAGCATACGAGGCCTGCAATGCATCAGGGCCGTTGATTTTTACTCGATACACTAAATTAATGAATGGAATTATCGATACTGAAGAGGACGCGAAATTGCTTGGAGAAGAAGGGATTATTTTGGACCATGTGAAGAGCAATAAAGAAGTGGCTGAGTTATGGAATGGGATGAGCAGGTCTGTTAGGTTGACTAAAGTGCCATTCTTAGATAAAGTGATTGAAGATGTGAACAAGTAGCTACGATGGTAGGTGGAAAATCAAGCTCCCAAAATTCATGAAGTTGTATACGTTTGGATCGTGGCAGTTTCTCACATTAATGGCTGCTATTTTGCTCATGTTGTTGATGACTTTGGAATCGTTTTGTTCAGTGTACGATTGCGATAGCATAATCATCAAAAAAAATCCAGTGATTTGAATTTTCTTCACAAGACTTTCTGTGTAAAATTTTCCTACATTACGTTTAATTTGTGTTTTGGGATAAATTTTTTAAATTTTTTTTGAAAGAGTGAGTTCAAAATTTTATTTGGTTTATTTGGTTGTATATTTTGAAAATAGTTTGGAAGTTTTGGATGATTTGATATTTTGTTGTAGTTAAATAGATGTGTATGAGAAAAAAAATAATTGAGAATGCTCCTGTTTGATGCAGCTGTTAAAACAGATTATAGATTATAGCTTAACAGATTATAAATTATGACTTTAATCAGAAACTGTTAATCTGTTTGGTACAACTGTTGGATTATAGATTTAAGTTGCTGAGTAATATTTGTTAAATAAGCTGTGAAATTGCTTTTTCAATTAACTTTTATTTTTTATTAGAAAAATGTTCTAGACGCCCTTTCCCGCACCCCTTTGACTCCCTCTCAACATGATTGGCTAGCTTTTTTTTTTTTTTTTTCAACCACCACCCACCACGTGTGTGTGGGGTTGGTGGGGGTGATGATTGGAGGGGTCTCTATCAAAACCCTTTTTATTATTCACTATTTGTCTACATTTCTCATAAAAAATAATAATAATATTTTATAGTCCATTTGGGTCTTTTTCTATTTTTAAAAAAATAAAAAAATAAAAATAAAAAAATCTAAGAGTATAACCGTGAATTAATATGTCCACAGCAGAAGCTGATAATCAGAAGCAATGGGTGAACAGTTTCTCAAAATCAGTTTTTTTGACTTAAAATAAGTTGTTAGAATCAAAAGTTGTTTGAAATAAATTTAACCAGTTTAAAATAACTTTTTAAAAGTCAGAAGCCATAAGTTAACTAAAAAAGTCCCACCAAACACCCACAATGAGAGAAGAGGCAGAAAGGTGGTTGATTGATATGTAGGAGAGAGCAAGGAATTTTGAAAAAAATAAATTCTAAAAATTTGAACCAAACAAAATTTAAAAAAAAAAAAACAAACAAAAATTGTATCTTAAGATACAAACCAAACAAACCTGGCCTTGTAGCTTTTTCTTTTCCAGGGAATGTGGCTGTAACTTGGGACTCTCTTTCAAAATGAGTTTATTGAGCTTTTTCATATACTTCGTTTGACAATGGCCCTGTTTGGTACAACTTATTTTCAGTTTATTTCAGCTTTTAACTTAATTTAAGTTATTTTGATGTGTTTAGTTCAGCTTAATAATACAGTTTATAGCATTTTGTAAGTCAAAAATCAACTTATTCTTCGAATGGAGAAGGAGAAGCTTAATTTATAAGTCAAAAATCAACTTATGTTTTTAGTTATAAGCTATAAGCTGTTAGGATATAAGTTATAATCATTTTTTCACAGCTCTACCAAACGGGGCCAATATCACTTTTTAGCTTAAAACTAAAAAAGTTATTAGAAAAATCAAAAAACTAACAATCTATATCCAAAAAGTTAAAGATTCTCTTTTCTCTCTACTTTTTTACATCTTTTCGTAAAAAATCAAAAAGTCATCCTAAACATACTAATTTTTTTATATCTCATATTTTAGCCAAAAAATCAAAAATTACTAAAATAACTTATTCCCAAACGAAACCTTAATTAGATTTATGATAATTTTGTATACTCTTTCATTTGCTATGAATTCTCTAAGCTTTGGGCATGTTATTAAAGCTTTGGGCCACTTGTTTGGTTTTTGAGTTTTCAAAAATAATTTTTTGAATTTTCAATTCGTATTTTTATATTTTTAGTGAATTTTTAAAATATTTTAATTAATTTTTATTTTTTAAATTTACTTAATCTTAATATACTTAAAATGTATAAAAATTTGTATAAAATTCATTGAATATAATAAAATACGAAATGTAGTGAATTTTATTTTATTTTATTTTGTATTTGATGATTTTTTTTTAAAAAAAAATCACAAATATTATGATTTTTTTTAAAAAAAAATCACAAATAAATGCAGAAAGCAATGTATAAAAAATGCAGAAAGCAATGTATAAAAAAAAAGTAATGTGTAAATTGTTAAAAAAAATTCATTAAAAAAATGCAGAAAGCAAAGAAAATTAATTTTTTGGAAAACAGATAGCAAACAAAAAAGAGGATTAATGGGAACTCATTATTTAGATGCAGAGGTGAGAATAATTATCTAAATCCAAAGTTTTGGCCTTTTCAACCAGGAGGACTTCAGCCCAAAATCTGGGCTGGAGAGTTGTTTGGGTTTGTAGGGTCTATCACAAATTTTATTTTGATGATTTGAATTATTTATTTTATCGATACTTTGTATTTTATTTATAAAACAATTAAATTAATTCGATAACTGTAATATGTTTAATTTATTATTTTTGTCATAAAAAAATGTATGATTTATTTTTTAAAAATACAATAAAACAAGGCCCATGATGGGCTCCCAAGTCCAAAGACCCCTCTAGTCTAGATTTTGAATTAGAGGGAATCCTCCTCCTTTAAACGAAACGAATACAAATCTATACCCAAAAAAAAAAATAAGAATAAAGTTGTACGCACCAATTAATATACTAACGGATGATATGTCATAACTTTAGAGGTTTTGAATCTTATAGTTTGTATAATGAATGGAGTCCATAATTATAAAAAAATTAAATTGATTTGATAACTGTAATATGTTTAATTTATTATTTTTGTCATAAAAAATGTATGATTTATTTTTTAAAAATACAATAAAACAAGGTCCATGATGGGCTCCCAAGTCCAAAGACCCCTCTAGTCTAGATTTTGAATTAGAGGAATCCTCCTCCTTTAAACAAAACGAATACAAATCTATACCCAAAAAAAAAAATAAGAATAAAGTTGTACGCACCAATTAATATACTAACGGATGATATGTCATAACTTTAGAGGTTTTGAATCTTATAGTTTGTATAATGAATGGAGTCCATAATTTTGAAGTAACAATATATATTGATACATTAATTAATATACTAATTGAGGTATGTAACATCACTCGACAAATATATACTTTTTAAATTTAATATAAGTCTGATAAGATTGAAAGAGAGTAATCGAATATAGAATATAAGGAATTTTAAATTTTTTATCAAACATTTATATAAATGTAGGTCCCACATAAATATAGGTCTTACATCTAATGTGAGTGTTTGATGATGTTACTTGATCGGATGTAAGGATGTAACATGACGGGTTTGCTTCGAGTGTTTAATTTTTCACTCCTGCCTTGTCTCGAGCCCCCACTTTAAATATTCATAGCTCAAATAATGTTGATCTTGTCATGCATAGTGATTTTTTCTTGGAAAAAAATTTAAAAAAATTAAGTGCCGTATCAAAATTAATACTTTTAAATAAAGGAAATCAAAGCAAGGCAATGTCTCTTGTCTTTTTAAAATTTCCATTAAGGCTAGAAATTAAACTACCACATTAAAAAATGTTGAGAACTTATTATAAATCTATTGTAACAGCTTATAGTATGTATGCTAATAACAAAAATTAAGTATAAAAATTTAGAAAATAAGATTTACCAAACATTAAAGTTATGTTTTGATCTTAAATTTGGGGTGAAATTTATAGAGGAAAAATAAAATAGAACTAAAATGTGAAAAAATAAATTATATTTCATTCACAGTTTTCTTCTCTTCTCAAATTTCTTTCTAATTTAAAATCTAAAAATAATATTCATTCAATTTGTTTTCAATTTTTAGAATTTACTTTTCAGAAAATTCTACTTTTTTATTTTTTATTTTTTTTCGCTGAAATTTTTAAATATTTTAAGCAATTTTTTTTTTTTTAATTTTTAGACACACCTAACATAAATACACTTAAAAAGTATAATATTTGTGAAAAAAAAACTTTAAAAAATTCACTAAATATCAAAAATACAAAAAAAAAAAATTGAAAATTCAGTACATTTTTTTGTATTTTTGTGTATTTATTAATTTTTTTAAATATATTTTTCACAAATATTTTACTATTTAAGGTGCATCTAAAAAACTAAAAAAAAAAACTTAAATTTTTAAAAATATTCATTAAAAGCAAAAAAAGATATGAAAAATAAAAAAACTTAATTTTCAAAAACTCAATTTAAAAAATTGAAACTAAACACGCTGATTAAGGTTGAAGGATAGACTCAGGAGAGAACTAATAGATGCAACAACAACTACTAAATTTTGAAATTTTCTTTATAGTAATATTATTAATTAGAAATATTTTCAAATTATATAAGTCTATCCCCAAAGATTTTCTTTTTTAAATTTAATACATGACCCCTAATATTTTATTTTTAAAAATATTGGTGGTATTATTTTAGGCATTAATTTAAAAGAAAAAAAAAATCATTTATCCATTCATGAATGATGCGCCCTTGATTTAAGTTACAAAACGTATATAGGATTAATGTTGAAACAACATGGACAAATTATAGTTTCTGTATTTTGATTTTTGCGTTGTTTTAGACTCAATAATTTCAATTGATTCGATTTTAATTCTGAATTTATGATTTTTCCTCAATTTAATCCAATTGCTTACAATTGTTAGCATTTTTCAATTTTCAAGGCAAAATTATAAATTTATTTAACTCAGTGAATTAATTTCAACCAATTCAGTAATAATTTTTTATCAAAAATATTAACAGCATTATTAATTGGATCAAATTGACATAAAATCTAAAATTAAAAATCAAATTTTAGCTAATTGAAAATATAGTGACCAAAATAACATAAGAGACAAATATAAGAACTATTAGTGTAATTTGCCTAAATAACAATTAGGAATTGATTAATGATTTTTAGCTTCAAAATTTTAGAAGCAGTTTTTAAAAATGGGTCTAAGGCTCATACTATTATAATATTTCCCAAAATAAACCAGAAATTTAAGTTTGTTTGGTTTAATTTTTTAAAAATTATTTGTAGATGAGTTATCGTTTATTTTTAGTGAATTTTTTTAATATTTTAATAATTTTTTTGTAATTTTTAAATACAACTAATCAAGATACACTTAAAAAGTAAAATAAATTGACTAAAATATTTAAAAAATAAATAAAAAATCTAAAAATAAACAAAAATTTGCATAAAAATTTGTTTTACTTTTTAAATGCATCATATTTTAGTTAATCCATGTACATTAACATATAAAAAAATGTTAAAACTGAATAACTCAAATTATTAAAACAAAATGACTCAAATTATTAAAACAAAATTCATGAAGAAGAACACGACCTAATGTAAAATCATTTGAAAATGACTAAAAAGATGCCCTTAAACTTGCACGAACAAAAATAAATAAATAAAACCAATTATCACATACAAACCTACATATGCGACGGTTCCACACTCATTGTAAGAAATTTGATAGAAAATTTAATAAATTATTTGGTATCCTTAAGACCATTTCCAACGTATATAACAACTCGAAAATTTAAGTTGTCCCTTAAGTTTTATACTAGTATTATAGTTGTATGTGATAATATATTATTAAACAAATAATAATAAATACAGAATCTAATTTGCCATTGAATTATCAAATATGAGAATTAGGGATTATTATTTGGAGCCAAATTAACAGAAATACAGAATTATAATATTAATTAGGTCAAATTAAAGTTAAAGATAAAAAATAAATAACTATAAAAGTAAAAGTAAATAAATAATAATAATAATAATAGGCGTGGTAGTAAAATAAATAATTAGTTTTCTGTTAGCATAAAATAGAGTGTAATTTAATTAAAGATTAATTAATTTATATAATTATATTAGAAAATTGGACCAAAGTGTAATTATCTTAAATATTTATTAAAGATAAATATGAATTCATGTAATTTATTATCATATCTGGAGAGAGATATGCGGGCCACGTTTTTACCTCCCTAATTTATAGGGAGGAGGTGATCACTATGGAAAAGAAAAGGCAAAAAAGAGAGAAAGGAAGGAAAAGAGGATAGAGAGAATGGGAAAAGGAAGGAGATCGAAGGACCATCCGTGAGAAAGAAGTAAAAATAAAATAAAAAATAGTAACGATCAATATTAAGGTGAGTTATATTATACCTTACGTTATCATAATATATTTTATGTATGTTTTGACTTATTATAATTTATTTTATATAAGTTGTATTTTACTAGTTATATTAATACAAGCTATGTTTTATAATTGAATTAATTTCTGAACTCTATTTGTTAAAATGAAACCTATGAATATATTTGTTTAACTTTTAATGATTATTTGACTCACTACTAAAAAAAGTACTTTTTGCGACCGTTACAAACTGTCGCAAATAATAAAAATACAGTCGCAAAATACTTTTTGCGACGGCCCATGCGACGGCAAATGGGGGTCGCGAATGTGGGGGTGGCAAATACTTTTTGCGACCGCAAAACAGCAGTCGCAAATTATTTGCGACCGCCTAACCTACTTATAGCAACTGATGTTTTGCCGTCGCAAAAAAAGAATAAAAATTACCTACAATGTATTAGCGACCATCTTATTAGCGTCGCATATAGTTTTCAATGACATTTATAAATAGTGCATCGTTATGATTTAAGATCTTTTCAAAAATCTGACTACATTGAACAAATTAAATCCAAGTGAATTCTATCAACAAGAAACTAAAAAATAAACTCAACCAAGTGAATTTCTAATTTTTTTCTGTCATTTCTTGTGCTTGAAACTCTTAATGTTCTTTAGAGCCGTTCAACTGGGCTAGGGGAAAAAAAAAATTGTCAAGCTTCTCGGTCACTATCTTCCCATGCATCATTGTCTGCTGGATCACTTGACTGATATAATAATCACAGAAGTTGTCCCATTTCCAACTTCTCGGTCTTGAAGCTCAACCAAATGGATGCTTTATTCTTCCACCTTTGCAGCAGGATGCTCAACACATAACATCTTGAGTATTATAGCACCATCATTAGTAATTGTTACATCACCAATATCATCAACTAGCATCTGAAACACAAAATCGACAGATGAAGTGTCAAGCTTCATATATTTGATTTCATCAATTTGACCAAAAAACTAAAAACCTGAAAAATGTTACATTAATAACAAATTAATGGTCATGTGACGCCTAAAATTTCCATATTAACGCAAGGGAATATACTCTTTACTAAAATACCAAGTTACCCCACCAGCTAGTGAGATGGATAATAAAGCAAAAATGTTAACAGATGCGTACTAGGCGATTAAATTATCCCATTACCATTATGGTGTAGTCTTAATCAATTGCATAAAAGATCTACCTTTTCACTAAACTGACTCAGGGGAAAAAATGTTTTAAGACTTTCAAAAACTCATTCCCAATACTAGTAAGCTTAAAATATTGAAATTGGTGATCTAATAGTAAAAGTTGAACTGAAATTAAAATTTTAAGGGGGAGATAGAGAGACAGAGAGAGTAACCCCACAAACTGTTAGAATCTGCAAATCCAAATTAGAAATAAATAAAGAAAGAACGAACATTCAAGCACACAACACATAAAATGGGAAAATCAGAGAAGAAGTACTTCACTCTTGAAAGAACAGAATCATGTGTTGGATCGTAGGGATGGTCCTTGGAAGGAATCTCCAAAATTGCTAGAATTGGATTGTTGTAGCTATCTACTAAAAACTTTATCATGTTTGCAACCTGAAGATGAACATTGTTGCATTAGACAATGTTTTATCCACAGAATCAAATGACAAATGAAAAATCACACCACCACAAAATCAATGTACTCATTCGTCTCTTACTACCAGACTATAATAATTGTGAGACTTTGTGATTTATATGAATGTTGCAATAAAGATTTAACTTGAAGTTTAGGAAGCATTAGTAAATTCAGCACCAAAGTATGAAGTCCCATTGACTAAAACATTAATGTAACATGCTAAATCTGTGACACGACCCATACTCATTCATCATAAACTTTTAATATTTTCTCTCATTCACATGATAGAATTTAAATAAAGAAGAAAAAGAAAAAAGAAGCATCTTAGGGTGCTCATGATACATCTGATAGGGTATAAGCATGCACTATAATCATATGCATAAGTCATACCATAGAAGAGCATTAAAATCAATCAAAAATATGACAGAGTAGAATAAAAACTTACATATTGGCTGATCATCACTATTGCAACGTCTTCTCTTGTTGTAAACTCCTTGAATGCTTCTTTAATTTGCTCAACAGTTATTTCTAAGCCATAATAAAAGAACATTTATAAGCCAAAATAAGAATATCCAAAAATTCAATTGAATTGAAATTAACTCAGGGGAAAGGACAGATTCTAATTCCATAACTAAGGATACAGGGCAAGAACAAAAATTTGGAGCGGTATAACAGCATCTGAAACCCATGTAGTTTCAAGTTCTCTCTCTCTCTCTCTCTCTCTCTCTCTCTCTCTCAACAATTTTAAAGCAAAATTTGAATCTCCTTAGCTGCTCATTCTGTTGCAGAGAAACAAAATCTACAGCTTAAATGACAAGAGTAACTAGTAGGCTTTAATGATTTTATCATAAAATTAAAGTATGTTGACCGTCCAGTCATTTATTGGAGATAGCTTTTCAATTCATCATATGCAAGTTATTTTAGTGAGAACTACTCCCAAAACAACTACCACAGGAAAAAACATCAAAAGCCAGTCACATTATTGTTCAAGTTCTCTCTCTCTCTCTCTCTCTCTCTCTCTCTCTCTCAACAATTTTAAAGCAAAATTTGAATCTCCTTAGCTGCTCATTCTGTTGCAGAGAAACAAAATCTACAGCTTAAATGACAAGAGTAACTAGTAGGCTTTAATGATTTTATCATAAAATTAAAGTATGTTGACCATCCAGTCATTTATTGGAGATAGCTTTTCAATTCATCATATGCCTAAAACATTAAAATTTCACAACATTTGGAGCTCAAAAGCATACTTGAGTCCACAATTAGGTAATTTGTCTTTCTCTGCAAATCCACATTGCCTACTCCAGCCAGTAAAAATCCAGTTATTGTGTCCTACATCAGATAAATTTAACTCCAATCAGCTCCAGCAATATTGAGCATCACATTAGCAGTCATCTTAAAGACCTTCATAAATATACACCAAGATGTCAAGGACAAGCAAAAACATATCTGATGCTGTTTTAACAACCTACCAAGCCACATGATCAATACTGTTATCTGCAACTGCATTATCCATGTGGGAACTCAACATAAGAGAAGACAAAATAAATCCACTGCACATTTATTGACTGTGAACTCACATAAGATGGGAAAATCAATGACCAAGTTCAGACCAAACAGTGAGAACAGATTCAGAGATGAAGAAATCAAAGTGCTTTCTACATATTAAAGTTAGTTGAAACGAATAAAGAGGTACATTAGCTTTGAGCCAATTTCAAAATCCACTCACAAAAAAGCCTTCAACACCTCCTTCAATGGAGTCACCCACTAACAACACGAATTTTTGCTATGTTCACTCCCAAGTCATCAAATTCATCTTTTCTTATTTGTATTTATTTATTTATTTATTTGTCCAATTTAATTATGAAGCCAATTTCTCTTCATGAAATGATAATTTTTTTTAGTGGGTATGGATTTCAGATACCAAAAATCAGTTTAAAATGTTAAATATAGGGATTCTGGAGTGAACATCATTCCTATATGAAATAAGAGATGTACAAAAAACTCACCATCGAGATATATGTTCCTCAAATCCAATCTTGCTCCTGGAGTGAACATCATCGCTGCCTGGCCTCAAAACTTGGGCCCCATCGCTCTTCCAGAAGATTCTAGAAGAGTGAACTTCACTGTCATGTCAGGGACTTCCATGGCTTGTCCACATGTTGGTGGAATTGCTGCTCTGATCCACTTAGCTCATCCAACATAGACCCCAGCAGCTATTAAATCTAGAAGAGGAATTTGAGGCACAATTTTATCATTCGATAAAGACAGAAGAATTCAATATAATTTAAGAATTCTAATATATGTTTCTTTAAGGCAAAAGAGGTCTCTAAATAAGCAAGTCAGCATAAATTCTCACTATCATTTTTTTTGTCCACTTATCACGATTTTTCTAGAGATAAAATATTCACAGAAATGAAGCCAAAGCAGAACATCAATCTGCCCAAGTATGAGCATTGACTTCAACAAGCTTTAGTTAAATTTAACAGTTGTGGTATCAAGAAAACTACAGAAATATCACATGCAAAAATTCTCTACGAAGAATAAACACATGCAGATATGCAAGAGAACTAACAATAAGAAAAGATTTTTCTACGGAAAATATATGTTCCTCAAATCCAAGCTTGCACTGGGGCCCAAGTTTTGACCTGTTGCTTTTTATACCAATTCCAAATCTATCACTTTATAGTGAAACATTTCAATTCAACAAACCACAAACATCAATATCTCCCTATTTATGACTATTATTTGTGACACGAAAGATGTTTGCAAGACAATAGATACACACATTCAAATATTCAATACTCTATGCATTTAGCCATATGAATCGAATTCAAATTCAAAAACGAGAGAGAAAGATATCAGTACCAAGTAATTCATCATTTAATTCAAGATCTAAATTACTTCTGAGCTTCCTCAAACTAAATTGAAATTGAAAACTACAGAGAGAGCTTGAAATCAAAATTAAACAGAGCAATATAGAAATCAACTACGACTAAAACATGTAACCAAGAAGAATTCAAAGTAGAACAACAAGACTATAAACTAGAAAAATCATTCAAAGATTAACCAAATTATGCTCTGTTTGGTTGCTAAGAAAATGTAACATAGACACAGGAAAACAAATATATATATATTTTACCTTAATTGAGGTGAGCTTCAGTTTTCTAGCCAAACAAACATAAAAGCATAATACTAAAAGTTTGAAATTCGGTTGCCCACCAAAAAAAAAAAAAAAAAAAAAATGAAAAAAACAAGGCTTTTTCGATTTCTTCCGGAACCAACCCGGCAGCGAAGATTACCCACCAACTGTAACAACCCAAAAATTAAGTTGTCCCTTAAATTTTATACTAGTATTATTGTTGTATGTGATAATGTATTATTAAATAAATAATAATGAATACAGAATCTAATTTGACATTGGATTATCAAATATGGGATTAATTAGAGATTATTATTTGGAGCCAAATTAACAGAAATACAGAATTATAATATTAATTAGGTCAAATTAAAGTTAAAGATAGTAAATAAATAACTATAAAAGTAAAAGTAAATAAATAATAATAATAATAATAATAGGCGTGGTAGTAAAATAAATAATTAGTTTTCTGTTAGCATAAAATAGAGTGTAATTTAATTAGAAATTAATTAATTTATATAATTATATTAGAAAATTAGACCAAAGTGTAATTATCTTAAATATTTATTAAAAATAAATATGAATTCATGTAATTTATTATCATATATGCGGGCCACGTTTTTACCTCCCTAATTTATAGGGAGGAGGTGATCACTATGGAAAAGAAAAGGCAAAAAAGAGAGTCTGAAGGAAAAGAGGATAGAAAGAATGGGAAAAGGAAGGAGATCGAAGGACCATCCGTGAGAAAGAAGTAAAAATAAAATAAAAAATAGTAAGGATCAATATTAAGGTGAGTTATATTATACTTTACGTTATCATAATATATTTTATGTATGTTTTGACTTATTATAATTTATTTTATATAAGTTGTATTTTACTAGTTATATTAATACAAGTTATGTTTTATAATTGAATTAATTTCTGAACTCTATTTGTTAAAATGAAACCTATGAATATATTTGTTTAACTTTTAATGATTATTTGACTATAACCTTATAAACAAATATGTTTTGTAAATACCACCACAGGAGTCCCATGCCTTGGGAGACTTAAATAACCATTGACCTCTGTTTGGTCACTTTGTGGGCCTCTGTTGTCATGGATCCATTGACCCTCTGATTTCTGGTGTGGAGCAAAGTTCTGTACGGAATTAAGTGCTACACTGTTGTGAGAGCCACCTCTAGAGTTTGTACAAGCCACCTCTTGAGTCCATGCATCTGTTCTGTTCTGTTCGGTACCGTGGTTATGATTATTTATTTACATAATCTCAGTTTTGCTACTTAAATGATTATTTGTTTAGACTAAATTATTTTAAATATTTTACTTATATAACTATTCATGATTGTTTTGTGTCCCTTATACTCTTAGCATAATATTTCTCACTCTGCTATGTGTTTATAGTTGTTTACCAATTTTCAGGAAACAATACAATTCAGAATAGTTTTTGGAAAGTCTTAGACGTGGGGCTGCGGAATAGGCACACACAACACTTTTATGATATGTTTATACGTAAATATCGGCCTTTTTGATCAATAAGTTTTGTAATAAAAATAGAAACTCCGATGATTATTTTAGTACCCTCACTTAAATATTACTTCCGCTCGTGTTTATTAATTTATTCAAGAATTGGCTAGAAGTAACTTCAGTTACTGGCCATCACGATACTTAACACTTGAATACGGAGAGCGGGTCGTGACAACGTATCATCTATTCTTTCATCAAATTTAAATTTGATGAAAAAATGTCATTATTCCAACTCCAATCATTTCATATCAGATTGAGAATATGATAAATCTTTCACCAAATTGAGGATGGTTGGGACCTTTCATCAATTCACTGTTCATAACCGTTAGATTTCACCACCGAACGACCGACCAGATGTTCGGCTAGTTGTCCTCTCGGATGACCACCTATTTGCAAAAAATTATGAAAAAATTACATTGGCCGGTCGACCGGCCGGACATTCGCCTTGTTGTTCACCCCGATTGACCGGTATTTTGATGAAAGTTCAAAATCCTCCATTGGAGCGCATGATACCAAATAGAGTTTTTCTTAAAAATTTTACTTAAATTTGGTAAAAAAAAAGATGCAACGTTAGAGATGCTCTAACATAGCTCATTTTCAAAACCTCAAAGGATAATTTGAGCATGTTTGGTTTGTCTCACACAATTATGTTTGTGGAGAAAAAATTCCAAAAGCATGTTTAGTTGAAAATTTTAGTTAAAAAAAAAAATCAAAAATCACTTTTTTCTTTACTACACATTAATTAATCACTTTTTTTTTCCCTCTCTTCTTTCCTTCTCAATCAAATTTTCTCTTACACCGTCTAGTCAACTACAAAAAGATATCAAATCATCTGAAACTCAAAAACTCCAAAACTATTTTTAAAATATACAACCAAACAAATTTTCAGATTTTCTAAACTATATTCAAAAAATTATTTTTGAAATAATGCTCATTCTGTCTTAAAATGTTAGTCATTTATTTCATTTTTCGTTATCACAAAATATTAGTCTATTTTCAAAATTTAAGGATTAAAATGACATAAATTTTTTATTTTGTCGTTTTTTTTTAATTCATTAATTATGACCATTGATGTTTCTAAAAAAAAGTTAAAAGGTAATTTTGGAAGGGTTTGGATTCTCTCCAGTTGGGCTTCCCGACTAAAGGGTGCAATTGGACCTTTATGGGCTCACCAGACAGCCGCATCGATAATCTAAACCGTTTAATATGTATAACTCGTTGAGTATTTCATCCTTGCAAAAAATCGAATTGATCGAATATCGATAGTCATTTGATCAAATTACATTTCTATCAACAATTTATTTTTAAAATTATGTTTACCATTGATAGAAATGTGATCTAATCAAATGACTATTGATATCTGATCAACGTGATTTTTTACATGAATAAAATACTCGACGGGTTCTATACATTGAACAATTCGAATTATTGATGCGAGCTCTGTAGTAAGCCCACAATGGCCCAACAGCTCTCTCCAATTCAATTTGGACAAGAGAGAAACCTCTCCTTTTTGGAAAATTATTATTTTTAAAGTGTAATAATTGTATTACTAAAAAAACTTGAATTTTTCAAAATAGACTAATATTTTGGAACGGAAGGGGTATCTCAAAATACAAATCAAACAAGGCCTTTTGTATTTGAAGCAAATCTCAAGGGGTGTGTTTGTAATTTCCCAATAAATATTCTATGGAGAAATTACATTTCACTCCCTTTATATTTAGTCACTTTATCACTTTGGTCTTTAAAATTTATTTTTTCTCACTTTAGCCTTTTTTATTTCAAGTTTTCTCACTTTACTCCTAAAGTTATTTTTGTTAAAAATTAGACAAAAAATAACACATTAACAATCACATGATATAAAAATATTTTATTATATATGACTCATACCTCTAACATAAATCTAAACTCTAATATAATAATATATTTTTTATATTAGGAGATAGTTATTGTGATAATTTTTTTTTCTAATTTTGAACATAAGTTAATTTTTAAAATAAATTTAAAAAATTTTAAATATAAAAGGGTTAAAATAAAAATAAAAAAATAAAAAATTAAAGTAAAAAATAATCAACTTAAAAAGGGGAAGTGTAATTTATCCAATATTCTATCGTATAAAAAACATTGATTATATATGACTCATACCTCTAACATAAATCTAAACTCTAATATAATAATATATTTTTTATATTAGGAGATAGTTATTGTGATAATTTTTTTTTCTAATTTTGAACATAAGTTAATTTTTAAAATAAATTTAAAAAATTTTAAATATAAAAGGGTTAAAATAAAAATAAAAAAATTAAAAATTAAAGTAAAAAATAATCAACTTAAAAAGGGGAAGTGTAATTTATCCAATATTCTATCGTATAAAAAAAATTGCACCAAGGATCCTCTAGAGTGAAATTTCCCTAAAGTTTCCTAGAGTGTTATATTGTGTGATTGAGATTTACTGGAAAGTCACATCAGAAAAATTGATGTGACTTGCCAGTAAATCTCAACCACACAATGTTGCACTCTAAGAAACTTTAGAGAAAAATCACTCTAGAGGATCCTTACTCAAAAAATTGGACCCGTGCCTTGCACGGATGATATATATATAATGCCAAAATATGGCATTCGAAAACACACTGCCAAGTTCTCGCACAAAGTCCACAAACAAGGTAAACTACTCTTCTCTCTTTCTCAACCACATCAGAGCTACCATTTGTTGCAACAATTTCATTTTCATTTTCATTTTCTTGCACAGAAAGACAAACCCAAGAAAGCCCACAATGATTTTCTCCATCAAATCTCTCTCCTCTCTTCTTCTGCCAATCTTCCTTGTCCTGTCTTCCACCACCTATTCATTCTCTCATGGAGCTTCTCAGAATCTTTACCTTCAAACCCTTCACATTCCAGGTAAATCTATTTCTATTCCTTCTAATTGTGTTTCACCTTCCTTTTTATCGACTGAATGTATAGTTTTCTCATTACATTGCCTTTTTTTGTTTTTTGTTTTTTGTTTTTTTTTTAAAGGAAAAGACATTTCTAGAATTTTTAGGGGAACAAATTACGGCTGTAGTTCTTGTAATTTGTTTCTTGGTTAATTTGATTATTATAATTTTAGTTGCATCAATTTTATTGTTGAACTTTTTACATTTACATTGTATCAAAATTAGATTGAAATTAGGGGACAAAATAATTTATTGAGAGTCCTTGAAATGATTGAGTGGTGGGGAGAGCCTCTAAATGCATCGCAAAATTTAGTTAGACACCACATTTTCAAATTAAAATTTTGTTTATTTTTTTTAACACTCCAATTAATTTCTACCTTACACCCCACCCACATAGCTTGCCCGCGGCACCTATGCCACCCCCTCTCCGGCCCTCTTGCCACCAAGCCACCCCTCCCCTTTCCTCCCCATCGCCCACTACCCCCTCTCATTTTCTCCTAGACGCGCCACCTCTTCTTCCCTCCCCAACGCCCCCAACCCCTCCCATTCCCTTCCTCTAAAACCTAACCCTAACCCCAATGCTCCTTACCCCTACCCCTCCCATTCCCTCCCTTTCACATTTGCCACCTATTTTTCTCTTTCTTTTCATTCTCCTTTTTATTCCTTAAACCCTAGATCTATTCTCTCTCTCTCTCTCTCACACACTTAGATCATGGTGGGAAAATGGGGTTTTGCGGTGAGGAAAGGGGACTAGAAAGGGTGTTTGTGGCGAACGAGGGGGAATTCATAATGGGAAGGGAATTGGGTTGGGGGTTTGCAGTGAGGGAAGTGGATAAGAGAGGGGGTTCGTGGCGAGGGAGGGGTTAGGAGGGGGATTAGCAATCAGAAGGGAACTAGGGTTGCCGATTTGTGGCAAGGGAAGGAGACTAGGGAGTAGGTTTGTGGCGAGGAAGGAGCTGGGACGAGGATTCACGATGGGAGGGGGACTGGGTTGGAGGTTCCGATAGGGTCGGGTAGGGGAGGGGAGGGGGGTTGTGGCGCAACAAGAAGAAGAAGAAGAAGAAGAAGAAGAAGAAAAAGAAAAAGAAGAAGAAGAAGAAGAAGGAGGAGGAGGTGGTGGCGACAAAGAGAGGGAGTTGGGAAGTGCTAGCTGGGGAGGCGTTGGGCGGAGCTAGGGTTAGGGTTTGTCTTTTTGGGTAATTTAGGCCTGGTTTGGATACTCAAAAAAAAGCTAAAAAACTAAAAAGTTACTCAAAAAGTTATCACTATTCACCCAAACAAAATATTAAAAAATTAATTTTACACAATCTTCCTTTTCAAACAACTCTGACGGCAGAGCAGGCGGAGCTGGGGGTGGGAAAAATTGCACTTATTTAGGTGTACAAATAATACGGTGTTGTTCGGCCCGTGGAAGCCCATCACATGTCCCTTTTTAACAATCTAAATCGTTCAATGCGTAGAACTCGTCGAGTATTATATGCCTGTAAAAAATCACATTGATCAGATATCGGTAACTATATGATCAAATCAGTTAAAATTTATAAAATGGATGGTGTTATAGTTAACGGTTGAAAACAAACTAATCCGATCAGAAAGCTATTGATATCCGATCAACGTGATTTTTTACAAGAATATAGTACTCGACGAGTTCTACACATTGAACGGTTTTGATTAGCAAAACAGGACCCGTGGTGGGCCCCACGGGCCGAACAACACCTCTAATTCAATACCCTAAAAGCAGGGAATCATCTCCCAGCCTCTACTCTACTGACGATGTCCCTCAATTCATCCTATCGTACAGCCTATTCCATCCAATCTTCTCCTATACACTAATTTATACAATTTTTTAATACACATTTTTTCGTAAAAAGTAAAAAAGTTATCCCAAACAACCATCTTTTTTTCCTCAACTTTTTAGTCCAAAGAGTCAAAAAGTGCACTTATTTAGGACACGTCAAACAACCTCTTAATTTTAGGAGTAAAGTGGTATTAAAATCTATTTTGAAAAATGGGGTCCAGCAAAGTTTTTAGGGTGCATTTAGAGGCTCATTGAGTGGTTGGGGTCTAATTTGAAAAAAAAAGTTTCATTCCTTTTAATTTCCCGTTGATTTTTGGTCAATTTCTTAGTGGTTGTTACCAATTAAACTAAACTAACATAATGTATAAATTTTAAAAATAAAATTGATACAATTCAGATTATAATTGACTCAAGAATTAAGTTAGATGGGTATAATTTGTTTTTATTTTTTGTTTTTTCTATTTCTTTTTCATTGTTTTGTTGTCAATGGTAGGGACAAGCAATGAGAGTGAATATGGTGTGGTTTCATGGGGGATGAAAAGGTCTGTTCTTGAGGGAAACAATGGTGAAGCTGCACAGAAGTCATCTCTGATATTGGCCGCTGAGAGAACACACAGGAAAGACCCACTTGACAATTTAAAGTATTACACGGGTGGATGGAACATTAGTGATAAACACTACTTCTTTGTAAGTTTTTCAGACCATTATCCCATTTCAATACAATTTATTTTTTAAAGTTAATTTTCCCTGATTTTGTGTTTTCAAACCCTTTTTTGTGTTGATGTCAGTTTTTTGTCCATGATTTTGTAGTGGTAAATTGTTAAAATCTAGACCACTTATATTGGCTTTGAGCAGTAAGTTTTTAGTCCATTTAGTTCTCTAAACTGGGTTTAAACTTGATTGTGATATGCTTTTGAAAAAAGAAAAGGCGGACAAGTTTGTGCCTACAGGGTGAATAGGCAAAAGAGGGTAACAGTTAACTTGTTGCCAATTAAAAATTCTGACAGTGGAATTATCAATTCAATTGAGAATAATCAGTGAGAATAATCAATCCACACAAAGTAAAAGTAAACAAAATAATGATCAAGAACAAGTGATTTACCGGGAAACTTGGGAAAAACAATTCACATGGAAAAAATCATGGGTCGCCCCTATCAGTGAGAATAATCCACTGGAACAAGAGATAACTCACAAGATTATATTGGTCACTTACAACCCCAACCCAATTTGTACTCGGCTCTACAATCTTGCCCCACAAACTTGCTAGTGGTTTCAACATCGTCAACGTTCTCTTCAATTTCCTTCACTTGGACAATGTAACCTTTATGCTAAACTAGCACACGTTGAATTTGTTAGGTCACCAATTTTCCCAAAAGCCTAAGCTATTGGGAAATGGGTCCAACAATATATATCAAGCTATTTAACACTATCCCTCACGTTCCCTCACATGCAATCCCGTCTTGCGCGTGGAGAGACAAACAGAGAACCAAGCAGAATGAGAAGCAAACAACCAAACAAAGAGGAAGAAACCAAACGGAGATATAATACCAGAGTTTTGATACCATGTTAAGTTATCAATTTTCCCAAAAGCCTAAGCTATTAGGAAATGGGTCTAACAATGTATATCAAGCTATCCAACAGAATCTACTACCAAAATTGCCAAAACACTAAATTACTTACAAATTTGAAGTTTTGTATTCCATGAGTTGTTCTTCCACTTGGGTTTTTCCCTTTTCTTTGGTTGTACATTATATAAAAACTAGAGTACCTCTATTGGATGTGAGAAATTATTCAGTGTTTCTGGAGCAAATCTATATGCTGTTCTAATTTCGTAAATATTCATCTAGACAATAAGGTCCATCACTTTTATGTTGGTGTTTTCAAAGACAACTTGATCTATGTCAATTGATAAATGGCATGGAGTATTGCTCCTAGTAAACCTAATTTTTCTGTGGATGTATGGCTTCTTGTGATCTCGAATTGGTTTTTGGTTTGTAGTTGTTCCGTAAATGGTTCTTGCTCTAAAGCGTGTTGACAATGCAATATGTGAGATTTTGACATCAAACTGAGTTTTGCAATCAATGATGAGCTGTGATTCTTTCTCTTTAGAATCAGCTTTTCACATGAATTTTGTTTCTTCTCAATAAAATGTGGTTACTAGAACTCTAAATTGAATCCCTTTCCTTTCCTCCATTTGCTTAGTTTATTATATTCTTTTTTTTAGTTTGATAACTTGATAGTTCTTTACTGAAATTGCTCTTATATTTGGTATTTGACACTCATTCTAATATGATTTCTTATATTGAGAAATTTATCATATTCTATTTTCTAAAAGTTGTTTTGAATGCAGTCTGTGGCTTTTACCGGTGTTCCCCTGTTTCTCACCGCTGCAATCTGGTTTGTTGGATTCGGCCTGTCTTCACTGCTCCTCTGTCTCTGTTGTTGCTGCTGCCAACGACGACAATATGGCTATTCTCGAACAGCTTATGCACTTTCTCTCATCTTCCTATCATTGTTCACCATTGCTGCAGTGTATATCTCTCCCCTCTACACACGCATTGAGTTTACGTTGACTTTTTGATCAATTATTTGACTCGCCATTCTTATTCTACGTTGTGATCTAGTGTTGGATGCGTTGTTCTGTACACTGGACAAGGGAAGTTCCACAATAGTACATCGGATACGTTGGACTATGTCGTGAGGCAATCCAACCTGACTGTCCAGAACCTTAGGAATGTATCAGATTATCTTGCTGCAGCGAAGCACGTTGGAGTTTATCAAGTGTTTTTGCCTCGCAATGTCCAGAACAGTATTGAGAAGGTTGAAGCGCGGATTAATGCTTCTGCTACAACTCTTGAACACGTGACAATGAAGAATAGGAACAATATAGACAATGTTTTGAACTCTGTGTGAGTAGATGCTAATATGTATTTGATTAATATTTTCTGGTTGGACCTATTAACTAATTAAATGTCTTTTATTGTGGCCTGCAGGAGGATTGCGCTTATTGTAATTGCTGCTGTGATGCTTGTCGTGGCTTTGCTTGGTTTTTGTAAGTCTTTTGATCCCATCAAGCAATGCCTTTGTGTTAAGTGACTGTCGATGATGATCTTACTTTAACTACGTCGTGGTTTTCATTATTGGTGCAGTATTCTCAGTTATTGGCTTGCAGTTTCTTGTATACTTGTGAGTAAGATAAGATATTTAATGGCACAATTTTACATTTTGACCTGATTGGTCTTGCCAGGATTGATATTTTCTCTGTTACAATCTTGTTTTTGCTTTCTTTGTTTCTAAAGACAAAATGTTTGCAGCTTGGTGATGATAGGGTGGATTCTCATAGCATGCACATTTGTCTTGTGTGGCGTATTTCTTGTGCTTCATAAGTAAGTTCTGCCAGATTTTATTGTTATACAATAAGGTTGCGAAACAATTTTTTATCTTGTATTTATAGTAAACCGCACTTGTATGCTTAGCATTATAGCAAGTCAACAATTTTATTATTTTCATAGTAAATCGCACCTAACTCTATGTTGCTTGCCAAACAGCACCAGCTTGGAGTCTAGTTTCTTTGTGAAAACCGGAGGGATGTTGTTTGGACCTATGGCGTCCACCACATGTCATAGAAAAATCCGATTGATCCGATAACAGTAACCACATGATTTCATCATATTTCTTTTGAACAAAATGGACGGCAACTATGATTTTGAAAATAGACTACTTATTTTTTAAAGATAAGTATGATGAAATCGTGTGGCTATTAATTATTGGCTAAATCTGATTTTTTTTTTTTTTTTTTTTTTCATAGATCATTTTCACACAGGGACTTTCAAGGTAAACAGCTCGCACTAGCTGAGTGAAACTTATGATGGATCTTACAGACATAAACAAAAAACCCTCCAATCCAATGTTTTGATTGGAGAGAATCCTTGGTCGTTCGCTAAAGCATGGTTACTTCACATTGATTTTATTTTATTTTATTTTTTTACGTCGTCAACAAATTATTGTTCTTCCTATGTTAACCATTGTTGTTATTGGTGAAACATTTGTTTGTTTCGTTGTTTCTATTTTTTGAAAGTTTATCTAACATATCTTCTCTACAAATTCCAGTATTGTTGGAGATACTTGTACTGCAATGGATGAGTGGGCCCAAAATCCCACTGCTCATACAGCTTTAGACGATATTCTTCCATGTGTGGATAGTACAACTGCACAACAAACCTTGTCTCAAAGCAAAGAAGTTAACTTCCAATTAGTCGGAATAGTTAATGGTATCATCACCAATGTGTCGAACATCAATGCACCGTCGCCTGGTGCTGCTCATCCTCTCTATTACAATCAATCTGGACCCCTGGTGCCTGTCCTCTGCAACCCATTTAACTCTGACAAGTCTGCTCGGATTTGTGCAGCTGGTGAAGTGGATTTCAACAATGCAACACAGGTTTGTTTTTGGAAAACATTACTATATTTTAATTTTATTTTTTTTAAAAAAAAAAAAAAGAAGAGGCAGCTAAAATGTGAATTCACAAAGCATTTCTTCATAATTTTTTGGTCTATACCTTCTTTTCTTTTCCTTTTTTGAGCTTTGAAATAATTTACATAAAGTATTTTTAAAGAAATATACTACACATAATCCCATTTTCTAATGAATTTTCTTACATTTAACCGCAAATGAGTGGGTTCCATATGTATTTATTAATGTGAGTCTCGCTGTCTTGTATCTAAAGTGAAAAAATTGAGTAAGAAATGAGATTACATATAGCATTACTCATTTATAAAGGGTTATTGGATTAGAACACATTCAGTCCGGGCCTGTGGTCCCCCCATATTTGTAGCCATACGGTTTTATGAAATTTATTTTCAAAAAAATAGATAAGTATAATTTTAAAATTTAGGCTGTTTACTTTTTCTGATTTTGAGATCATATGACTACGATTATTTGATAAATCTGATTTTGTTTGATAGATAATTTATACATAAAGGCTTACAAAATGAACGAAACGTGTTATTGGAGTGACCCTGTGGTGGAACTACAAAGCCAAACCTGACCAATCTACTTATTTTACACACCGGAGACAATCCATCTCCATTCTTAAAAGGATCATCCATTTGAATTTTGGATTGGGTTTAACCTCAAGTATCACTTAGTCAATTGATTTGATCTGTCAAACACTCCACACATAATTTTTGCTTTTTGTTGTCTTTTTAGCAACTATGCTCAATACATTTACTGTTCTTAATTCAGGTTTGGAAGAACTACGTGTGCCAAGTTTCAGCTAGTAACATTTGCAACACTACAGGCCGATTGACTCCCCAAATGTACGAGCAGATGGAAAGCGTTGTCAATGTGAACTATGGCCTCTATCATTACAGTCCATTCCTCATCGGATTACTTGATTGCAGTTTTGTTCGCGATACATTTTCCAGCATAAGTGTCCATCAGTGTCCAGATTTGAGTCGATACAGCAAGTGGATCTACATCGGCTTTGCCATTGTCTCAGCTGCAGTGATGCTCTCTTTGATTTTCTGGGTAGTTTATGCAAGAGAGAGACAACACCGGAAATACACCAAACTGAGCAAAGCTGCTTCTGATGGAGACTCTTTTGGACAGAAAAGGCCATAATGAATGAATTTTTTTGTTGTTTGATAAAGTTGGGTCTCAAAATTATGCACATTTTGAATATTTTTTGCAATTTATAGAGATGCTTCTTTGAGATTGATCATATTGGACTTCAAGGAATCAGATTTGTAGGCTAACGTATCACAGCTTTCAAAAGATTAGTTTGCATACATATAGCAGTGGAAGAGGAAGATTTTTTTTAAAAAAAATAAATAAATAAATAAATAAATTTGCTTTTTTTGTTAAATGACAATCAATTTCTTATTATTTGAGGGTAAGTGAGTGGGTCTCACATTGGATCTCCACAAAATAAAAATGTTGAATTGACTGAAGAGAAGTTCATTTGAGAGTAAATTACAGCTTTATGTTTAAAAAATTATCTTTAACCTTTATACATCTAAAATAATAAAATAATATTAATATGTTATTCATGTCCTTTTAAAAGAAATAATAATCTTCTTTGGTCTAACCCACACAAAAAAATAAATTTCTTTAGTTTTCATTTTATTTTTACTTTTATTAATTTTTTTAATATTTTAAACAATTTTTTTTTCTTATTTTTTAAATACACCTAATCTAGATATACTTCAAAAATATAACATTTCGTAATTTTTTTTTAAATTCACCAATTACAAAAAAAATACAAAAATATAAAAAGTCAGTAATACTGTAATAAATGTAAATGACGGTATTCGGTAATACTGTAATAAATGTGGGTGAATAGACGAGACAAAAAAATTGATGGTGGAAATAAAAATAAAAAATTCTATTCATATATTTCAAAAATATAACATTTCGTAATTTTTTTTTAAATTCACCAATTACAAAAAAAATACAAAAATATAAAAATTCAGTAATACTGTAATAAATGTAAATGACGGTATTTGGTAATACTGTAATAAATGTGGGTGAATAGACGAGACAAAAAAATTAATGGTGGAAATAAAAATAAAAAATTCTATTCATATATAAAAATTTATATAAAAAATATCATAAAAATATTGTGATAGTGATGTTATAAATATAAATAATGTTTATGAGTGTTTTGTTTTAAAGTGAAAGATAACCATTAAGTTATATCATTGTGTTTGAAAATTTTATATAAAATTTATATTTGTATATCATCACTAATAAGAATGTTCAGATAGAATTTAATGATGAAAAATTGTAGAATACAATTATGATAATAAAAAAAAGAAATGGTACAAAAAAGAGCAAAATGTTTATTTAGAAACTTCGGGGGGGAAGATGTAATTTTTTAAGGGGTGTCAGTGTAATTTACCCTTCATTTTAATACATGGATGTATTGTTGTAGCACTAATCTCCATTGAGGTTTGGATAAATTACGTTGAATTTAGAAATTTGACATAATAATGTTAGGTTCTTTTAATATTTTAAGTTATAAAACTTTATTACATTTTTATTAATAATTTATTAATCGTATAAATTAAAAAATATATATATTAATATATATGAGGGGAAATTATAAAAAGGAAAATATCAAGCAAAATGGAAAGTAGAAAAAAAATAAATTATACATTCATGAAAACACAACACTCATTTGCACAATCTAGTGGGTAAATTACCTGTACTTTCATATGTTTGCAAGTATTTTTTTCAATTTCTCACCTTTTATATATATATTTATTTATTTATTTTTCCTTATAGAAAAAAACCTAAGAGTTTGACTGTAACAAAATAAATTTTTAATTTTTTCAATTTAAATCATAATTTTTAATTTAAACCATTTGTTTATTTTGTTAAGTAAAACTAATAGAAAAAAATAATATTTTAATCATTAAACTCAATGAAAAAAAATATTTTAGACATTTTATGTGCACTTTCATTGAGTTTAATGACTAAAATATATTTTGTCATCTATTTTATTTTTATTTAAGGAAAATAGGCTAATAGTTTAAATTGAAAATAAATAAAAGGATCAAAATTTAAATTGATAAAATTGAAAAATCATGGTTCATTTTGTTCCAAGAGTCAAACTCTGAATTTTTTTTTTTTGTTATTTTTTCACACTATTTACATCAGTTTAAGTTGCTTTAATCTCACTGAAAAAAAAAGTTAATATAATTATGTCAAACGTATAGAATATACTGTTTTTTTTCTAAATTATAATGTGGTTAGTGAAGTTTACCCTTTATTGTATTTTTTTCAAAATCATATGTCAAACTTGGTCTTTTTGCTCTCAATATTTCGTCCTAATAATGACACTGTCCATTATATTTTTGCATAATCAACTTTAATTTGGATGAAATGCTCCCAAAATATTTCTTTCCTATTCTATTTTGGGCCATTGGAAATCACAACGGTGAAAATGCACCTTAAAGTTCGAGGTAAGTTATTTTGTGACATGTTGGGATGATTAAATTTTTATATTAAATTTCATTTATTATCTAATTTATTGTTAATGGCTTTATTTGGTATAGCTGTTAAAATAGATTAGGCCTGTTTGGTAGAGCTTATAAGCTGCTTATTTCAGTTTTTAGCTTAATTTAAGCTAAAATATTGGGATTTTTTTTTTAAGATCCCTCGTATTAAGATTTTATAGCATAAAAGACATCTAATATTTTCATAATGTCTAAGGTTCCTCAAGTTGATCCCGAGAAAATTGGTCCAGAGAAAATTATTCTAGAGAAAATTCACGTCACAGAGAAAATTGGTCCAGAGAAACTACGTAGCAAACCCTTTCTTCAAGCAACCTTTGCTCTTGCTGGAAATCCAGAGAAAGTTGGAAAAGAAGAGGTTGCGAAATTTTTCTGGACAACATTGAGGACTAGTTCAATCCAAACCAGAGAATTTCTCTGGATCAACCCAAAGAAATTTCAGTTCAAACCATAGAATTTCTCTGGACCAATCCAGAGAAAATTCCGTTTAAACCCGAGAATTTCTCTGGACCAACCCAGAGAAATTTCAGTTCAAACAAGAAAATTTCTCTTCACTAATCCAGAGAAATTTCAGTTCAAAACAGAGAGAAAACATCATTTCATTGAGTGAATAAGCAACAATAGCAACCTATATATATATATATATATTAAACAAATTTCTCTGTGTTTGTTTTTCTGAAATATCACTGACTTGTCACCATTTCCTTGTGTGAAAACGCAAGGCATATCTTCCATTGACCCGCCTTGTTTTTCTATAGCCTCGGGTCTCTTTGATGAACTCTCAATCTCGGCATTGGACTGACACGCATTTTCCTTTCCCTTTACAGAAGAAGAACCTACAGCCTCTTGATTGCTTTGCCCGCCTCGCTCTTGCAATGACGGAATACTGGCAGGGCAGCAAGGGACGAAGTCAGATCGGCGAAGCTCAGCCGTCGCCGTGAATCGCCGTTGTCTCAGTTGCACCAAATCTGCACCAAATCTTTATCTATAACAAAATCTCCCGCAACTTTGCATTCGCCGCCTCCTCCAGTAACTCCGGTTGCTATCATCGCTTTTCTCTCTCTCTCTCTCTCATCTGTATTCCCTCTCTCTCTCTCTATATATATATATATGTATATATATCACTCACTCATCAGATTTGAGAGTGAGTGCTATAGTGTAATGGTAATCTCAAACACACACAGATCGATTGACTGTGTATTTTTGGTGTTTGATTTCGCATTTTGTTGAGGATCTGGGAGTGAAGAAAAAAAATGTTATTCCTCTCTCTCTAGGGTTTCGGAGAGAGAGAGAGACAGAGAGGAAGTGCTGCTCTGCAGTAGAGGAAGAGAGACAAAGAGTTAATTTTCTCTGATATATGTTTAGGGACCTTAGACATCAAAAAATAATTTTGTGGATCTCTTCCATTACGAAAAGTCGAAGAAGGACCCTAGACTAATTTTTTCAAAATATTGTGTTTGGTGTAGTTTAAGTTAACCAGCTTATAGCTTAAATCAAGCTTTCTCAACTTATCTAAAAACCTGGTCAAGAGGTGCTTAAATTTTTTACTAAAGCGTGCAGTTGGTGTTGGGGGGCTGAAATTATTTAAATGCCCTCGTCAATACCCAAATATTAATATTATTAATTAATATTAATTAAAAAATAAAAAATTGTATATTTCTAAAGAAAAAGAAAAAAATCAATATTAATTGAAAAATAAATATTAATTGGTATTAATTATTAATAAATTCATATTGTATATTTTTATATTAATTAAAAAATAATTTTTTTTATATTTTTGAAGAAAGAGAAAAAAATCAATATTAATTAAAAAAATCAATAGTAATTGGTATTAATTATTAATAAATTAAAATTGTATACTTTTGTAATGAATTATTTATTAATTGATACTAATTAATAACAATTGTTGATTATTAATATTAATTGATACTAATAAAAATTAAATATTAATATTAATTTATACTAATTAATAATTTTAATATTAATTGAGACTAATTAAGCCATTAATTGATACTAATTAATAATTTTAGTATTAATTGATACTAATTAAGCAAATAATTGATACTAATTAATTTATAATGAAAAATAATTGTGACAATAATACTTCCATTACATTTTTAGCAAATGTATCAATTTTTATATTAATGGATATTAATTAATACTACTTATATTAACTTTTATTAATGAAATATTTTTTTAAAAAATTAAAACTGAAAAAAATGACAAAATAATCATTTTTATATCATATAAAGGTAGAAATGACAATTATACAGTAAAAAGCTATTTTACAGCTTATTAACGAAAACACTACTCTGCTGCTTAAATCCATAATCCCACAGCTACACCAAACAGGTTAACAGTTTATATTCACAGCTATGAGTTATAATCTGTTAAGTTATAATCTATAATCACTTTTTCACAACTCTACCAAATGGGGCCATTATAAATTATATAGCTTAACAGATTATACATTATGACTTTAATCAGAAGCTGTTAATCTGTTTGGTGTAGCTGTTGGATTATAGATTTAAGTTGCTGAGTAGTGTTTGTTAAATAAGCTGTGAAGTAACTTTTTCAATTAATTTTTATTTTTTGTTATTCACTACTTGTCTACATTTCTCATAAATAATAATTATAATTTATAATCCATTTGGGTCTTTTTTTATTTTTAAAAAAATAAAAAATAAAAAAATCTAAGAGTATA